GCAGCTGGATGCAATAATCGCATGCCAATGTGCATTGGCTCGTTTAGTTTACACTCGAAGTAGATTGGTCTCTCTAAGCGAGATCCCTAATTCGTCGGTCATCCGACGTGACGTCTCCGTTCCCTCCTTCAGGGAACGAGGGTTACCATACGTAACCGAGACGTTTTAATTTTGCACCACATCAGCATCTGAGGCACATTAAAAAATAATTTAGGCAAAAGTCATTTAGCATTTTTTGTAAGAATTTTTGTTGTTTGTTTGTTTCATTTTCCTCTTATATCCTCAATTTACATGAATTTCTGTCATGTTGTCTGAATATTAGAATTTAAAAAAAAATGTCTCTAACAGGTGAAACCAACATAGAGAAGATAATGGCCAATGTGAAAAAGGCCATTGGGACAAAGTTTCCCCTCTATTGCCTTGGTTTTGGATATGATGTTAACTTTGACTTCCTGACAAAGATGTCACTGGAAAATGGTGGAGTTGCTCGCAGGATTTATGAAGATTCAGACGCTGATCTACAGCTCTGTAGCAAAATGCGGTGTGAATTTCAAAATCCATTCTGAGCCAAATGTGCAGCAAAATGGTTGCAAAAATGGTGATTTAAATGTCTTTTAGAAAAAATATAGATACTAAGGTATTTTAAATCATCATCATTAAAAAATGTATGCGTACAATATGCATTGAATTGGACGAATAACCTATGTTAGCGAATAATTGTGTAGGATAGAACTATTTTCCTGCTCATCTGAACACACGCAAATGTTGCAAGACAAAACCAATCAATCACAGAGAGCGTTCACTCCCAAAAGTATCATAAGAAATCATTGACGCTTTTGGGAACGGCAGCCCAGAACAATGCTTATCAGAGGACAGAAAAAAAAACAAATGTTTGAGTTATTTCACAATAAACAAATTGAAATTGTAGCCTACATAGTTTGTGCAATTACAATTATTTATGTTCTATTCTGTAATGTTAGTATAAATCATAGCTGTCAGAATAAAAATGTTGCCTTTTATGCGTGCAACAGCCTGTCACTGGCAGTCCCTTAGGAAAATGAACCATGGTTTTACTAAAGTGACCATAGTTCAACTATAGTATTTGTAGATTTCCATGGTTACCACTACAGTAAACATATTTTAACCATGTGTAAAACAAAATATAACCTAATAAGTTGCAATTAAGGCATATTGAATGTTAAAATGTGTTTCAAATATAAAGTTTAGTGGATATCATTACCAATTTTACTCTTAGTAATTTAATTGAATACATTTCACAATTTAAATGTTCAGTTTAGAAGTATCGTTTATTAAAAGTATCGGTATTGTATCGAAAACAAAATAAGTGGTATCGATACTTTCGATACTGATGTTGTATCGAAAGGAACGATCCTCACATAAAAATATAGATTCTAAAGTGCATTTTTTAACCATTAATTTTATTTATCAAGAAATTCGGTGCATAAAATAAGCTTAGACTATATTAGCGAATAATTGTGTTGGATAGAACCATTTCTCCTGCTCATCGGAGCACACGCAAATGCTGAAAGACAGAACCAATCAATCACAGACAGCATTCGCTGCTGACGCATGGCTTAGAGTGCTTGTTTAAATAGGGCTACGTTTCCCAAAAGCATCAGAAGCATAAGTAGATTTTTTCATGAGGTATCCTCAAAGGTGCACCTTTGTAACTTATCTACCCTTAAAGCATGCATACATGTATGGTACTAATATGCTCACTTTTAGGGGTATAGTTGCACCTTTGAGGTTACTGCCCCAGTAAAGGGCTAAAATACAATTATAGTATATATTATTTATGACAATGTAAACAAAAAAAGGCCTATGAAATGTTAAAAAACATGGCTTTAAAATCTAATATTAAGTGAGTATAATTACTGATTATATTCTTTTAATAATTTAAAAGATCAGTTTAGTTTAGAGGTATCGGTATCAGTATAGATATCGACGATACTGGGCTTGAAAATATTGTTATCGGATCGAAAATAAAATAAGAGGTATCACCCATCCCTAATTATCACGTGGTATCACGATGAAAATGCAATCTCAAGTGTCCTACCCGTAAGTTTAAATGCATTTAGGAAAAATGGCATTTAAATGATAATTTTGCTACAGTTTCTGCTTGGACATGTTAAACATATCTAATCAATTTGGTTAATACAGTTTAATTTTAATTTTGCAACTTATAAAGCGTTAAAATATGTTTTTAATTTACATATTAAAGCTAATGTAAAAAATGGCAAATGTAAATTATATAATTGAATTTTCATTTTGCACTAAATGTTGCACATATGTATGGGAAAATGTAAATTTAAACACAGAAATACATTGCCATTTTACATATTGCATTGTCATTTTGCATATTACATTTCAAAATGAATTTTGCTACCCATATGCTTCCATAGAACGGTTCTGTCTTTTAGCGCATTTAAAGTTTGTTTGATTTTTAGGGCTTCTATGAAGAAGTTGCCGTCCCTCTCCTCACTGATATTCAACTTAAATACCCAGGAGGGACAAACCTTACCAAGACCAGCTTTAGCTTGTACTTCAATGGCTCTGAGATTGTGGTGTCAGGACAAATCACAGACAACAGTGTGGAGAGTTTCACCACTGAAGTCATCGCAGTATCAGTAAGATCTTCACTAATCTTCTCTTTAGTGGCATATTATTAGTATCACTGGTCGACTGTGTATAGGAGTTGGGAATAATAGCTTTGTTTTTATAGTAGGTTATGGGTGAAAGTGGTACTGACAGCATTCTAATAAAAAATATTCACTAGTATTATTATTTCTAAACAGAAAGGCAACAATGTGACGTATCAGGACACTATATTGACAAAAGACCCCAGTGATGTCCCACCTGAGAATGAAGATTTCATGCAGAGAGTATGATAAAACAGTGCTGCTTTTTTCCCCCACATACGCACGATCGGAAGGAGCGGAAGCGGTCGACTGTGGCATAATAAAAGCTCCGCTGCTTTCGAAGTTTAAATCCAGAGAAATAAGCAATTTTAACTACTGACACGAACCGTGTCTATAGTGTCATTGTGTTGCCTGCCAATGACGTCATAACCCTCGATTTCCAGTTTTTTTTTGTAGAAAACATGGAAACACCAAACACGCTTTAATATGCTATGCATTTTATTAGACAGGTGACGACTGCACAGAGTAGCATTATAACAGAACGTTCAAATGTAGTATGATAAAACAGTGCTGCTTTTTTCCCCCACATACGCACGATCGGAAAACTCCCATGATTCCACACTCAGTCACGGCTTCATCAAACTACGCCTTTGTTTCTTTGTTTGTTTTGAATACGCGCCCTCTAGTGGCAAAAAATTACATATTGTGCCTTTAAGTTGAACATTGAGAACATATTTTATCTCAGAGTGATTCTTAAAGGACAAGAGACAGAGGATGAAAAGAAAGAAGCTCTCAAACTCTCCCTGAAATACCAGTTTGTCACTCCCCTCACCTCTATGGTTGTTACTAAGCCACAAGAAGGTGATGTGGAAGTTGCCGACAAACCCAAAGAGGGAGAAGCGCAACCCAGACCTCCAGGTGAGAAGCTACTTCATTTGTGCATCCTACAAGTTAAGGCAACAGAGTCAGTTTATATTATAAAGCAGCTGTCTAGTGTTTTCTGACCTCATCAGACAAACTTTTCTTCCGAAATGGAGTTTTGATGGCCGCTGTATACGCAGTGAATAACAGTTATCCCTTTGTATTTTTTTTTTATAAAGTACCTGTACCTTATGGTCCTTTTGCATGCAACTACACTACCGGTCAAAAGTTTGGAATCAGTAAGACTTGTAATATTTTTTAAAGAAGTATCTTATGCTCATCAAGGCTGCATTTATTTGATCAAAAATACAGAAAAAAAACCCAGTAATCTTGCAAAATGTTACAATATAAAATAATGGACCGGTAGTGTATAAAATAATGAAACAAACAGTTCATGTACTCTATTTATGTAAACTTTTGCAGAGAATTTAAAGTAGCAATAGCTTATGGAAAAATTTCAAATATATAGGATGGAGACTTGTTTTTTTGTGTTGTTGATTTTTTTACATTAGTTGATAATTGGATTTAAGTCCCGCATACACCACCAAAGACGTCTGTCATTTTCACCACAAGACAGTTATTTTGATTAAAAATTAGCAGGTCATAATTGTCAAAAAGTGAAACACATACGTTGATACATAGTTCACAATGAGACTTAACATGTATTTAGAAAATGCATGAATTTTTATTTCATGCTTACTTTAATATACTGCATCTGCCTTGAAGTGTGTATATATATATTTTTTTATTTCCCAGCAACAGGATTTATTCAGCAGCACCGCCATAGTCCAGGTCTGCCCGGTGCACCTGCCGCTCATCCAGGTTTGCGTGGTATGCATTGTTTCTTCTTCTAAAAGCTTTCTTCTTTTAATAGGTAGATCATGTTACCCCCTCTTATCTTATAGCTTCCATAGTGTTCAGACCAAGCAGTATTCAAATTTACATTATCACATCATTAAGACTATTAGGACCCTCCATTCTTTGAGAGAACATATCGATAGATCATTCACAATAAGATCTACAACATGCATTTGGAAAATAGAAGAATTTACTAAAATTGGGTGAATTTTAATTTTATGCCAACGTTAGTATACTTTATCTGCCTTGAAATATCTTTTTTTTTTTATTATTTTTTGTTGTTGTTGTATATCCCAGGATCAAGATATGGTGGTGCTCATCTAGGGCGCCGGGGTATGGCTTTTTTCTTTATCTTTTTTTTTTCATGGGTACAGGACACGTCATGTGTAAAGAAAAATGTGCCCCTTATCTTATAGCTTCCATTTTCAGAACAAGCAGTATTCAAATCACAATGATCACATTATTAAGACTATCCCTTTTTCTAAATACTGCTTTCAAACCCCTCTGTTTGTTTTGGCAGGATATATATATTTTTGAAAATTTGGTGGAAAAAAAGCAAGGCAAATGGGGTGCAAAATGCTGGGGTTGCAATAAAACACACATATTGAAAATGAATTTGTAATAAACAGATTTTTGATTCATGCTCACAACATAAAAAAATATATTTGTTTTTTTAGGTGGACGATATCGCCTTCATAGTTATCCTGCTGCATGTAGGTGTTTTAATTTCTTTTCTCTTCTACATTTATCAGCCAGATTCTGTAATGAATAAACGCTGCTGCCTTGTGCATATCATGTATGTCGTGCCTAATTATCAATTATTAAACGAATGTAAATTATTGTACTTGGTAATAAATTAAAGTTTTTTAGTTTTTTTTTAATGGCTGAATCATCTTCATTCCCAGTTCCCTTTCCAGTAGCTGAGGGTATGTATGACAATGTTGCAATGTTTTCTGTCCAAAAATGTCTTATAGTAATAATAATAATAATAATTTAATTTCAACTGAATGAAATCAACTGCTATTTGACTTTCTTTAATTATTGCAAATTTGCCGTATTAAAAGCTACAGTGCATCCGGAAAGTATTCACAGCGCTTCACCTTTTCCACATTTTGTTATGTTACAGCCTTATTCCAAAATGGATTAAATTCATTATTTTCCTCAAAATTCTACAAACAATACCCCATAATGACAACGTGAAAGAAGTTTGTTTGAAATCTTTGCAAATTTATTACAAATAAAAAATCATGTACATAAGTATTCACAGCTTTTGCCATGACACTCAGGTGCATCCTGTTTCCACTGATCATCCTTGAGATGTTTCTACAACTTGATTGGAGTCCACCTGTGGTAAATTCAGTTGATTGGACATGATTTGGAAAGGCACACACCTGGCTATATAAGGTCCCACAGTTAACAGTGCATGTCAGAGCACAAACCAAGCCATGAAGTCCAAGGAATTGTCTGTAGACCTCCGAGACAGGATTGTATCAAGGCACAGATCTGGGGAAGGGTACAGAAAAGTTTCTGCAGCATTGAAGGTCCCAATGAGCACAGTAGCCTCCATCATCCGTTAATGGAAGAAGTTTGGAACCACCAGGATTCTTCCTAGAGCGGGCTGCCCGGCCAAACTGAGCGATCGGGGGAGAAGGGCCTTAGTCAGGGAGGTGACCAAGAACCCGATGGTCACTCTGACAGAGCTCCAGCTTTTCTCTGTGGAGAGAGGAGAACCTTCCAGAAGAAAAACAATCTCTGTAGCACTCCACCAATCAGGCCTGTCTGGTAGAGTGGCCAGACGGAAGCCACTCCTCAGTAAAAGGCACATGACAGCCCGCCAGGAGTTTGCCAAAAGGCACCTGAAGGACTCTTGATGAAACCATGATGAAACAAAGATTGAACTCTTTGGCCTGAATGGTAAGCGTCATGTCTGGAGGAAACCAGGCACCACTCATCACCTGGCCAATACCATCCCATTTTTTTAGCGGCAGGAACTGGGAGACTAGTCAAGATCGAGGGAAAGATGAATGCAGCAATGTACAGAGATATCCTTGATGAAAACCTGCTCCAGAGTGCTCTTCCAAGGTTCAGCGAAAGTTCATCTTCCAACAGGACAACGACCCTAAGCACACAGCCAAGGTAACAAAGTAGTGGCTACGGGACAACTCTGTGAATGTCCTTGAGTGGCCCAGACTTGAACCTGATTGAACGTCTCTGGAGAGATCTGAAAATGGCTGTGCACCGATGCTCCCCATCCAACCTGATGGAGCTTGAGAGGTCCTGTAAAGAAGAATGGGAGAAACTGCCCAAAAATAGGTGTGCCAAGCAATACTCAAAAAGATTTGAGGCTGTAATTGGTGCCAAAGGTGCTTCAAAAAAGTATTGAGCAAAGGCTGTGAATACTTGTGCATGTTGTTGTTTTTTTTTTTGCATTTTTTATTTTTTTTATATAAATTTGCAAAGATTTCAAACAAACTACTTTTACGTTACCATTATGGGGTATTTTTTAATCCATTTTGGAATAAGGCTGTAAAATGTGGAAAAAGCGAAGCGCTGGGAATACTTTCTGAATGCACTGTAAATTAAAAGAAAATGGAATGAGATGATGAAATGGATGAAATGGAATGAAAATAAATGAAATAAGGCATTAGGTGTGATTCGGAAAAGAAGCCTCTTAATATGAAATATTTGAAAATACATTTTAATGAAAAGAAAATGATTTAAATGTAGCTCTAGTTATGTGAAAGGAATTATCATTAAATGTTTTATAACATTTCATATGTTTTATAATTTATATTATTACAAAAAAATCAGTACAGTTTAATTACTAAATTTAATAATTTCTCTATTTAATTATTTCAGTAATGCATTTGTACAACTTTTTTTCATTATTTACACTGAACAAAATTATAAATGCAACACTTTTGTTTTTGCCCCCATTTTTCATGAGCTGAACTCAAAGAGCTAAAACTTTTTCTATGTACACAAAAGGCCTATTTCTCTCAAATATTGTTCACAAATCTGTGTTAGTGAGCACTTCTCCTTTGCCGAGATAATCCATCCACCTCACAGGTGCTGATTAGACAGCATGATTATTGCACAGGTGTGCCTTAGGCTGGCCACAATAAAAGGCCACTCTAAAATGTGCAGTTTTATCACACAGCACAATGCCACAGATGTCGCAAGTTTTGAGGGAG